GACACCGTATGGAGAAATGGGCTGTGGAAACAACTGTCCAAATACGGGATCAAGGGGAAAATGTGGAGAGTGCTCAAGAAGATGACGAAAAGCGCTGCTACACGGAGAACTGTCAGAATTTTTTGGACATTGAGCAGGGGGTTCCACAAGGTTGCCCGGCTGTCCCCAACATGGTTCCAGGTGTTCATCAACGATCTGTTGGAAGTCGTAGAGGCAGTCCGGAAGGGAGTAAAAGTAGGGGACACGGAAACTTCTGTGTCGGGAATGCTGTTTGCGGATGATTTTGTCGGTATGTCGGACACCCCTGAGGGACTGCAACTGCAAATTGACGCGGCGAAGAAGTTTACTGATAAGTGGAGATTGTCTGCCAACGTTAAGAAGAGAAGAAGGAGGTATGCAACGAGAACAAGGAGGAACCAAAAGGAGGTATGCAACGAGAACAAGGAGGAACCAAAGAACATTGATGGAAGTGGGAGATCAAGGAGATAGCAGTAGTGGAACAGTACACATACCTCGGAGTAGAGATCGCAAAAGATTGCTCGTGGAATGCACACATGTCCAAGGTAGCGGAAAAGGGCAAAGCACGAGCAGGGAAGCTGCACCCAATACTCGCAAACCGGCACCTCGATACACGCATCAAATTGACGGTTTTGAAGAGCGTAATCGTACCGCCGCTAGAGTACGCCGGAGAAGTATGGGAAGGAAATAAGAAGGTNACATACGCATCAAATTGAAGGTTTTGGAGAGCGTAATCGTACTGCCGCTACAGTACGCCGGAGAAGTATGGGAAGGAAGTAAGAAGGTAGTGAAAGAACTCGAGGCGGCGCAGATGAAAGCAGCGAAAACCATCCTAGGATGCTCCAGGCGCACAAGTAACGCAGCCGTCAGGGCAGAATTGGGGATCCAATCCCTACGGTCGGGAAGAGACGCGAGGAAGCTGACCTGGCAGTATCGCATGTGCGGGATGGGAGAGGAGAGGTTGCCGAGAATTGTATGGGAGGCGAAGTGGGCAAACAAAAAGAGGGGTAGACAACCCACGGAATGGGTCAAGGTTGTAGAGGACGTATGGAAGGGGCTCGACATCGACGAAGATGAAACGCTGGAAACGGAGGGTCTACAGGGGTTCAAGGAGAAGATATCTGTTGCTTGTGCCGAGAGAGAAGAACAGAATCTAAGGAAAGAAACCAAGGATAAGGAGGGTCTGGAAGTGTACGGAATGTTGCAGGAAGGAATAGGGTTTAAGGATCACCTACATGGACCAATGGATGTAGGAACAAAGCTTAAGGTCAAATTCAGGACCGGGGACATAGGCCTTCGAGAACGTCGACGAAGACATAGGACGGTAGACGAGGAAGACGACGAGTTCAAATGTGATTGCGGCTTCGAATGCGAAGACCGTGTTCATGTAGTCGCGGAATGTCCGTTGTACAAGAAGGAGAGGGAAGTGTACGTGACTGAGCTGGGAAAAATAGATGGAACGTACAGGGAGACATTTGAGGCATATAATAGAGAGGAAAGGACGGTAGCTGTACTGGGGCATAGGAGGTGGGTTGAAAAGGCGGGAAGGGATATCGTTAGGATAGACAGACTAGGGAAGACATTTTTGAGCCACCTTTGGCAAAGTAGAAAGGAACGATTGGCCATCGGTGATCGGTCCTGTGGGAACAATGCTCCGTCCTCTCGAGGACGCGTGGTCAATGGTCTAACCGCTAAGGCATGCAAAACATAAGAGTATGCCCCCCCCCCGTCGTCGTCGTCCTCGTCCTCCCCCCCGGTGACGCTGTTTGCCATCGGGGTTGGGATTTCGTTGCTTGGCAACGACGTTGTAACACAAGCCAATTCACTTCGTGAACTCGGCAACCAGGTTACCCTTTTTTTTTTACCTATTTTTTTTTTNTGTGTTAAAATGGTCAAGCACCCTCGAGGCAGTTACACAGTGCTTACAGTTGTCTCTAGAAGCGAAAGCACCAGAAAATAAATTTAGTCATACGCAGCTGTCACCCGTATGCAAGGAAGTAAGCACAAGATGCCGAACACCCTTAGCAGGATGCAGCGCACCCTTCATGCGACTCGCCGAATATCTCACGGCGCTTCGCGCTTGGTGATGTGAGAGCCTGGTCCGGTGAGAACCCGGCGTGCTCCGTCCCGGCTTTGTAGGGATGCGAGGTCAATGGTCTAACGACTACGGCATGCACGACTATGAGTACCCCCCCCCCCCCGCCCCCGTCGTTTGGGCGAAACACTGCACACCCATCTTCCAATTACGAAATTCGTCTTCCCTCCTGGCAGTCTACCGTGGGTAAGACGCGAGGGTTGGGTTCCATGGTGCATAGCCTCATGCCCCCTCTCAAATGTCTAGGAAAACATCCATTTGGATCGGTCCACTTACGGAGGGCGACCTCACCCGACCTCCCTCTCCCTAGACATGAGATTGGCGCATACGCTGACTGGTACTCTGGAACAATGAGAGAGGAATCGAATCGTACGCAGCACCGAGGGGACGCAACCACTTCGTGCGTGTATGGATTTGTCGAGTTATCTGGGACAAGAGTGCTTCGGAGGCAGCAAAAAATGTGGACGAATCCAACACCGGGCGGAACGATAGGACCTTTTGCCTCTATACTGCACATCTTCATGTTTCCTTCGCACAAGCCCTGGGTTCTGTTTGTTTATTCCTTGATACACATCACCCACAGCCCTTTGTCTCCCTCTGCTCCGAACGACCTGTTCCACCCTGACTCAAGCTGTGGTTCTGCTATCCCCCCCCCCCCCC